TGACATGCCCAAAATAAGTGAGACAAAGTTTCACTATTTTTGTCTCTAAGGTGCAGTCTGGTTGCACTCTATCAAAGACTTATTTTCTTGTTGTTTTGGCAGTTCATAGAATGTTCACTACTTTTCACCAAAAACATTCTTCTTAAGTCATCCTTATTAATTTTTCCAATTTTCAGATGTATATGAAATCAACCCAAAAGATCATGGTCTGCACGGAGTACACCTTTTTGTTATTGTTTACATTTTATTACATCAGATGGGTGAGGGCTTTGGGGGACAGCTGGGCACACTCAGTCGTTCTTAGCAACTGTCTTCTTCATGGCAGCCAGGATATTCTTGAGTTCTTCTTGCTTCCTTTTGGCGTGGATGTGTGTCCCCACCCTTTTCTTGATGAACTTGAGGGCCTGCTTGTCCTTGGAGACCTTGAGCAGCTCCATGGTGTGACACTCGTAGGGTGCAAAGCCACACACCTCCCAGATCATGTCCCACACGAACTTGGTGTGCTTGGTGAGGCACCCACGGCGTTGGCTGTGCCTCAGCTTGCTCACGTTCTCGGTGACTTTGTGGCCCTTGTTGAGGCCCACGGCCATAGGGTAGTACAGAGCCATGACTGCTGCACGTCTATGGCTGTGAGGCAGAAGACACATCATAAAATTGACATCCTGTGCTGGAGTTCTGGTAGCTTGTTGCTGTTGTTGTTATTTGCTGTTGAGTTGACTCTGACTCATAGCCACCTTATAAATAATATATCTGAACCCTGCCGTGTCTTGTGCCATCCTCACTATCTCTAAAATGCTTGTGCCTCTTGTTACAGTGACCATATCCCTCCATCCATCCTGTTGATGGTCTTCTTTTCTTTCACTGACCCTTCACCTTTCCAAATACTATGTATTTTTCCAATGATCAGCCCCTAACAACAAGTCAAAAATTTGTGAAAAGAAGTTCCACATTCTTGCCTCCAAGAAACATCTTGATTGCACTTTATCCAAGACAGACTTGTTAATTCTTTGGCAATCTATGGGCTATTCCGTACTTTATTCAACATCACTCATAAAGGACTCATTTCTCCAGCTCAGAGGCATCCATTCTTTTTCTGTCATGCTTAGTCATTGTCCGACTATCAGATGAATAGCAAGTAATCAAAAATACCATGTCTTGGAACAGGTGCACCTTAGTCTTTAAACTGGCATCCTTGTTCTTTAGCACTTTGGAGAGGTCTCTGATAGCAGGTTTTTCCAATGTTACAGGTCTTCTAATTTCTTGACTACTGGTTCCAAAGGTGTTGATTGTGGATCCAAGTAAGATTAAATAATTGTCAATTCCAACGTTTTCTCCATCTATGATGATGTTGCCTATATATTTTTTGAAATATATATATATGTTTCCTGATATTGAGATGTAACCATTATTGAAGTCTTTGATTACTTGCAGTAAGCTTTTTAAGTCTTCCTCACTTTCAGCAAACACGATTGTATCATCTCATAATATAGGCTGTTTTTGAGCTTTCCTCTCTTCCTGATAGTAGTCACACAGTACTTCAAAGTCCAACTTCTTGAATTATTTACTCAGCATAAAGATTAAACAGGTATGGAGAAAAGATACATTGCTAACACACACTTTTCTTGACTTTCAGTCATGCACTGTTTTCTTGCTCTGTTCTGACAACAATCTAGGTCTAGGTTTCTCATAAGCACAATTAAAGATTCTGAAATTCCCATTCTTCTCAATGCTAAGTCATAATTTTTGTAGGCGGTCATTACAAAGACAGAAGGGGAAGAAAAGACCAAAATGGATGTCAGAAGAAACTCTGAAGATTGCACTGGAATGTAGAGAAGCCAAAGCACAAGGAAGAATCCAAGACACTAAAGAGCTGAAAAGAAGATTCCAAAAGGCAGCATGGGACGACAAAGAAAAATATTGCAATGAAATATGCAGGGAGCTAGAGTCGGAAAAGCAAAAAGGCTGAACTCGTTCAGCATTTCTTAAGCTCAAGGAACTGAAGAACAAATTCAAATCTCGAGTTGCTACAAGCAAGGATGCTTTAGGAAGAATGTTAAATGATCCAGGAGGTATCAAAAGAAGATGGAAGGAATATACTGAGTCATTGTACCAAAAGGAATTGGCAGATACAGAAGAATTTAATGAAATAGCATTTGAGCCAGAGCCTATGGTGATGGAGGCAGAAGTTCAAGCTGCTTTGAAGGAAATAGCAAAAAATAAGGCCCCTGGAATAAACGGTATACCAATTGACATATTTCAGCTAACAGATCCTGCCGTGGATGTGCTCACCAGGTTGTGCCAAGAAATCTGGAGAACCACTTGGCCAACTGACTGGAAGAGGTCAATATTTGTTCCCATCCCAAAGAAGGGCA